TCGGTGGGTCACCGGTGGCGCCCTGGGGGGACCCCGCTGTGCCCAGGGACCCTCTGCCGCCTTGGTGGCGGTGGAGCTCAGGCGTTTCCCCGGGCGAGGGGATTGTTTAGGTAGCCCCAGCGCTGGGGTATGTAATAGCGGCACCCGTCAACCGCGTAAATAACAGCACTGATAACCCGGCGTCCGCAGAGTTTTGACCAGGCCATCGCCTCTCCCTTTAGAGGGGGTTGTTTGGGGAGGGTGAGCCACCGCATCCTCGCGCCATCACGTTTCTCAGTGTTTTGATTGGCGTGGGCTCCAGTAGTCACCGTGTTTTCTAGCGGTGATCCACGGGGTGCAAAGCTTGAGATCGTTTGGAGGTGCCTGTCGGCTGAAGCTGACGCAGATTTTGATTCCTGCCTGTTTTGCTGATCAGGCAGGCCTGGGCAGCTTCTCCTGAAAACTGGATTCTCTTGTTTGAAGAAATGACTTGAAGAAACTATAAAGCTGCATTTCCATGCACTGTGACCTGTTTTTTCCCTTGCCTTTATTGTAAACGCCAGTTTTAATGGATGTTTCTCTTTTTTTCTTCCCTTTGGAGAACAAGAAATTAGTCTAGATGCGGTAAATTGGAAGAAATGGAAGAAAGGAAAATCAAGAGGAGGAGCCCCAAATCATCCACCAGTCACCCTGCTCAGGTTGCTAACTCCAAGAAAAGCTCAGTGCCGGTCAGTAAAAGTACAGCCTTTTCAAATCCTGCACCGCAGCCTGCAGTACAGAAACCAAAGTTAAAACGGTAAGTGTGGGAGCTTCTGGCAAGCTGAGTGGAAGTGAGAGCCAGAAACCTGCCATTGCTCAGACAGGCTAAAGGGTGTTTAGTCTGGCTGGGGCAGGATGAAAAGAAAGAGCTTCAGACTTGTGAAAATTCTTGATGGTGTGTCTGTCTTAGCAAAGTAATTTGTTTAATGCAATATAACGGTTGTTTTATGGGAAAGGAAGGTGCTCAATACTGTTCTTGTAAGCTTTATAAAATGTTCCACAGTGCTGTAGACTCGTAACAATTTAGCTGAAGAGATGATGGCCTGATGTCACTGGTGAAAGACAAGAGTTGGGTGATCAGATGTGGCAAATGTGGGCGTCGTACATGAGACAGCAGTGCCCCAGATATACAGCTGTGAGGAAAAAAATTAAATATTGCATGTCTGCAAGGCTAGAACTGACAAGTAGGTCAGGAAAAGAATG